AGCTATTATATAGAAATATTTCTTTTTAAAACCTAACATTTTATTATGGAAAATTTTAAATATATGCATAAGTAGAGAGTAGTAAAATCTATCCCCAGCTAATCATTCAAGAAGGGTCAATTGTGTTTCTTCCTTACACCCACACATTTGCTGCTCCTCACTACGTTATTTCAAATTGTATATGAGAGAGTAACCTTACTTCCTTGACATCAAATAGCTAGTTCCTTAAAAAATTTCCCCAGTTGTCTCTTGTTTTTGGTATAGTGGTTTATTTGTTCTATATTTAAACAAGATTCATGGGTTATATTTGGTTGATCTGTTTCTGAAGTCTCTTAATTTATACTTTACCTCTTTTTTTTAATTTTTTTACATTGATTTGCTGAAGAAACTCAGTTCTTTTGTTCCGTAATTTCTTGTCTGTATTTTTTCTGATCGACTGTATCTTCCTGGTATTATTTAACATGCTCCTTTGTCTCTTTTTATCCTTAAATCTGGTAGCTGGATACAGAGCTTAGTGTGATTGCCTTCTTCCTTCCTTCCTTCCTTTCTTATAAACAACATTTCATTAGTTATATTTGGTGCTCCATCACAAAGCATATATTCTGGTTATCTCCCTTTGTGTGATTTTAGTGTCCATTGATGATTATTGCCTAGATCTGACATTGCATTAGGGGTTTGCAAAATGGTAATCTTATTTCATTATTTTTAATTGATTAGCTGAAGTATGTACATATATAGAGCAGTTTCCCCTCATCAACTATAAATATTTAGTTGATGAACTATTTAGTTGATAAAACAGATTTCATACAGGAAATGCAGACTAAACGTCTAAGTTGTCCCTTTGTTAGTTTTCAGAATATAATTATGACATTTCCCAGTGTAACAGATGAATTTTTCTTTTTAATATCCTTATGAACTCATGAATTTTGACATTAGATGTATTTGAATATATTGCACTTTTCTCCAGTTTACTTATTCAACTTACACTAAATCCTAGAGGTTATTCTGTTGCATATAAAAATATGTTATTTGATTTTTTTACAGCTACATACATTTGCATTATGTAGATTTACCTTACATTATTCAACCAGTATCCTCTTGATGAACATTAGGCTTTACATCTTTTTGATAATATGAAAGTGCTACAGTGAACGTTGAAGTGTAAACAATTCATATCCATTTGTTTTTCTGGCAAAGACATCTAGAAATGGAATTCTTGGGACAAAAGGAAAATGTATGTAGAATTTTGCTAGATATTGCCAAATTTCCCTCTATAGGTATTGTGCCATTTTACAAATGCATTTTAATTGCATAAAGACTGGAAACATTTGTGTAGAATATAAAGACTAAATATGATCTAACAACAAACACAAAGAATTATCTAAAATGCATTTTAATTACATAAAGACAGACTGGAAACATTTGTGTAGAATATAAAGACTAAATAGGATCTAACATCAACAAACACAAAGAATTATCTAACCTCAGCACACACAAAGAATTATCTATGTTGTGGCCAGGCGTGGGAGCTTATGCCTGTGATCCCAGCACTTTAGGAGACTGAGGTGGGCAGATCTTGAAGTCAAGAGATGGAGACCATCCTGGTCAATATGGTGAAACCCCAACTCTACTAAAATACAAAAATTACCTGGGAATGGTGGCACATGCCTGTAGTCCCAGCTACTCAGGAGGCTGAGGCAAGAGAATCACTTGAACCTGGGAGGCAGAGGCAGCAGTGAGCAGAGATCATGCCACTGTACTTTGTCTTGGCAACAGAGGGAGACTGTGTCTCAAAATACATATATATATGTGTGTATATATATATATATATACACACACACATATATATATAGTATTTTTAATTTAAGCTCTTCTTTTTGACAGTTACTTGCTTATATAATAACTGTCTTGATAGGAACTTCTATCATAAGATAATATTTACTAAGTCTAATACATTAACAATTGTATAATGCAACATTATCAATATTCAAACACATTCTCATTTATTAAGGACTTTTAGGAAGCAAGCTTTGTTTCCATATAATTCACCTTGTTATCGTAAAACTTAACAAGAACAGAAGTTACAAATGTGTTCATTGTTCAGACCTCATAGTAGACATTAGCCCCTTATTGTCATAAGCCATAATCTATACATCATGAAACCATCTGAGAAATTTATATACTTTCTTTTAAACTAGAGAATAATGAAAAAATGTAAATGTTCTTTGAAATATTTAGATTTTCTTCCTAAGGGTGTCTTAGCATGGATTGATATACTCCTATGGCATAAAGCTATTGAGTAATTAGCAATGAGATGACTGACAAAACCCAAAGTAATAGTTCTGTGTCCTTCTTAAACCAGGACTCCTAAATCTGCTTTTCTTTATTGATATAATGAGTGGAGAATTAATTTTAAAAGGTGGTGGCTATTGATTACTTAATGGAAAATGATAGTGTAGAGAAATGCTGAAGTGAGTCTATTCTGTGCCCTCCTGTGCAACAGGACCCATTATCCAGTGGTGGAAATCATACCCTAACTCTCATTCATATTGAACAGGCTTGATGTAGGCTACAAAATTGTCTTGGGCATGGGCTCCAATCGGACATAGAATGGTTTTAAGTATATAAAAGAGTAATAGATTTCCCTGTGTTCAGATTGTTTATAAGCAGGACAACAATACACTCAATTCCCTTCTGTGATTGCTGAGCAATGACGGCCAGATGGAAAAGCCTACTAGGCAAGTTGGAGTGATTAATATTCTGGGAAGCCACTCTAGACTAGTAAGTACTACATAAGAAGACTTTGTATTTTCCAGTGTGGTTCTCCATTTCAGCCCTTCGCTTCCGCTGATCTCACCACAGGCTGAAGGGCTTGTTCAGCAGGGGTGGCAAGTCAGCAAAAGCTGCTAATTGTGTCTAACACAGATAATGTCCTTGGGGCACTATTCTGTATCACACTGTCTATCAAGCTAACCCCTTTTCATATATCAGGATCTTTTTATTTCAGTTCATTTAAAAGGGAAACAAGGATTTTTAAAGACAGCTGGTAGGGGGACATAAGAGCTTCTAAGGACTAGGAGCCCTTGAAGCTGACTTGTACTAAAATGGACTGTGATTTCTGAAAGGACAACATAGCAGATCCTCCAATAATATCGTTCCTTCTGACATCATTTTGTTATAACATTGATGGAGAAAAAAAAAAATCAGTTCCTGACCAGGGTCACCAGTCTTCTCATTTCTGTGTGGATTTCCTCCCACATCCCAAAGAAGTGCACGTCAGGTCAATTGGCGTGTCAGAATCGCTCCCGATGAGGGAGTGTGGATGTGTGCTTCAGTGCGCCCTGCGATGGAACGGCACCCTCTCCAGGGCTGGTTCCTGCCTTGTGCCCTGAGTTGTGGGGATAGGCTCTAACCACTCGCAGCAACCCTGAGCTGGAATAACTGGGTAAATAATTATGTTAGTTTTTAAAATTAATCTTTCTTAAATGTATGTATGGATCACGTTTGTTTCCATGTTTACCCTCAGAAGCGTTTGGGTCTGTCTGTAGTAATCTGGTGATGTTTTTGTGACAAGAAATAGGTCATAGAAACTTGTTATTTGAACTTGTTATTTCAAGTAGCCTACGGGAAAGTGGATTATAGCTGGTTTTGCTTAAGGTAGCAGTTTCTGAGATCCTATCGATAGCATTAAGGGAGAACTTGTACAAGATTTTATAGATTACTGACTCCCATTATTAATTGTCTAAATTACCAGATTATATGTCAGTACCACCCATTTATTTTTAAAATATGATAAGCTTGAAATGGGATAAAGACCTTTAGAAAGAAAATATTCTTGGGATTTATGGGTACAAAAAGAATACAACGTCAGATATCCAGCTTCTCAAAAATGCATAAAATTAGATAGTGAAGAAATATCAATTTTTTGACTCAATGACTCTCAAGAATTTTAAAATGTGTTTAAGAGATTCATTTATTTTGTCGCATATCAGGAATTATTTATAATTACCTGCCTAGAATGAGTTGCATAATACAAATTTAGCTTTGAAGGCAAAAGGTATTCAAGGCAACATCTTCTATTAACATACTGAGCTTTTTCTCAAAACCAGTGAATGAAACTGACGCAGAGGTCTCATTGTAATTCTATGTCAAAGGTGGACACATTCAGTTTTACTCCCAACCTTGGACTGTGCATACCTAAATGCTGCTTTCAATTTATAAATAAGTCTGTGTGTGTGCCTTCTCTTTCTGATATCCAGCAGAGAATTTCAAATGATCAGTAGTTGGTAATAGAATATACACTTCTTTTTTTTTTTTTTTTTTTTTTTTCTTAAAGTAGATCTTTTATTTTCACTTTAAAGTTTTGGGGTACATGTTCAGGATGTACACGTTTGTTACATAGGTAAGCATGTGCCATGGTGGTTTGCTGCACCTGTCAACGCATCACCTAGGTATTAAGCCCATTGCCCATTAGCTATTTTTCCTGATGATCTGCTTCTCCTCGCCCTCCTCCCCACAGGCCCCAGTGTGTGAACAGACTTGATCTTTGTGAGGCATAATGGTGGGTCTAGTTAGATGCTTGCTTTTTGCTTGTGTGTTGCATTGTTGTTATTTGTTTATTGGCTGGTTGGTTAGTACTACATTCCACTAAGTTTGTGGTTAGCTCATTTCAGGGGGCTTTAGTTTAGAATTGATGGATTCTTCAGCTGCGACTTCCAAGAGCAAAATTAAAATCATAAATTTAAAATAATTTAACCAATATTTTCTTCAAGGTGTTTACTTAACACTATAACATAGAAAGACATTTTATCAACTGTAAGTATAAACATGTTAATTGTTGTATCTTCACAGCCTTCAAATATTCCAGAGAGAAGAGCTTTTTAAACCCTCTATTTGCAAAAGATGGGGCTTGTTCAGCTATAATCTAATATATTAATCAGTTTGGGCAGTGAAAATAACCAACTCTAAGTTTCCTTTCCTTTTTCTTTTCTATTTTATAGCGAAGCAGCAGTTTTGGGAATTTTGATCGTTTTCGGAATAATTCTATATCAAAACCAGATGATTCAGCTGAGGTTAGTATTTTATTCCATTTTTATGAATATTATGCAAACACATGAAATATGAAGACAGTGTCATTTTTGCAAAGTACAATAAAAATAAATACATTTTAAAATTATAGCCTTGCACATATTTTCATGATAAACGAACAAACCATTATTTAGTACTGTTGTAGAGAAAAACGAGGTTCTTGTCACATGACCAGGAAAATTTAGGCCCACAGACACATTGTAGGGTGAGTAGGGCAGGGTTTATTGTGTGAAAAGGAAAAAAGGAAAGGGAAACTCTCAGCAAAGTGAGAGTCCTACTAGCAGGCCCCTACCTTACAGATTGACTCCTTGGCCACTTCAAAGGAACGGAAGAGGCCAGGCTCCTCCCACTGCAAAGGACGGGAACTTCCCGTAGCTCCACCCAATTCCCCCAGCGCACAGATGGGCATTATTCAGAGAGAAGCAGTTGGGAAAGAGTTGGCTTCATCCAGGAGCAGCAGTCTGATTTTTCAGCCTTCAGGATGTGACGTTTTGCCAGGGACCCTCATCTGTCTCTTGTCTCTATCAGTATCCAGTATCATGCAGGGCATTTAGAGTAAAATGCTATTTTAAGAAGCCTAACAGATGTTTGGAAAAGCAAAATATACACCTAAAAAGATGGAATTCAAAAACTCTGGCAATTCCAAATTTCCTATTTCTGCCATAAAACAATGTGTGTGTGTGTGTGTGTGTGTGTGTGTGTATATTTAGGTATACACACACACTCACACACCAACATTGTATTTGTACACATTATTTAGGCTATATATATAATTTTATGTAAGTTGTAATTGCTTTAAATTAGAAAATGATTAGGTGGCTCAACTGCAAATTGGTTAAGGAGAGCAAATGGCTGCTCAATTGGACTCTCACACTTCAGTGTATACTGAAACATCCCATTGGTGAGTACTATATACACATTAATAAATTACAAACATTTTAAATGTAGCTTAAGAAAAGCTTCCCATAAAATTAGGCTTACATACAAAAAATTTCAATAATATGTACATTTAATGGAGCACTCACCATGAAATAAGCACAATGCTAACTTTACCTTTGCAGAAATATGCGTGCTTCATCAAATAAAATTACTTCTAAATTACAGAGTGAATAAATGACAAAGGCAGAACTCAAACTCTTCTCTGACTCCAAAGTTTGCCATACTATCTCATAAAGTAGGGGCCACATTTGCTAAGTGATTAATGACAGGTGTAACAACAACTAATCAAATAGTACAGAAATGGGGTGTCTACTGAGAAAACGGAAAATACTGTTTATGATTGAACCTGATTCAGCAAGCTCACAGGTAATATATTCTTTTCAAATCAATAGGTTTTTAGATCTTATGTTTATTTTCAGATATATCTATCTGTAATATTTTTAAATATTTTAATTTTAGTAATTATCTCCTTTTATTTATTATGTATATATTCACATTTATAAGTAAACTTGTACATAACTATATAGTTAATCGACATTTACATAATTGTAAGCAATATAAGGAATATATACATATAAATCTCTCTCCATATATATGTATATATATGTGTATATATATACATATATATACATATATACACATATATATACATACATATATATACATATATATACATATATATATGTGAAGAGAGAAAGAAGCTATATATAATTTTATTTTCAGTTGGCATCTTGTATATATTTTTAACTCTCCACAATCATACATATATTCTACTGCTGTTTAGTTTATAATTCTGGAATTAGCCTACATAAGATAGCTCAGGTTCATTCAGGGTCATTAGTTAATAATGGTCACCTAGTAATTTGTAAAATAATTTAGTGACCCTAATAAAATAGTTTGCATATTTTTCAAAAGTCCAGCATTCATTTAAAAAAAAAAAAATGCCTACTCTGACAGGTTTTCCCTTAGGAAGTACTGTTGCAATCACACATGAAAATCCTTTCTTCATGCCTGGAGCCTACAGGGGAAGGCAAATCTTAAAAGGACAACAACAAAACCATAAGTAATATCTAAATAGAAATTTGATTCAGGCTATGGAGAATAGAATAGAAAAAAGTTAACATTCAAAAGACATAAACATAGTTTCTTTGTAGCTTCTGTAAATGATAGAAAAACCTAAAAAAAAAATTGTGATACATTTTTCTGAAGTTTAGAAATCACAGGGTAACATAAGTAGTAATTAAATAACATTTCTTATTTATGTTAGCAAAATAATCCTACAGTGAAGACAGAAAGTTTAAGTAGAGAGAAGAAAAAGGCTAACTCTAAAATTTTAAAGTGCTTCCAAATTATATTTTATTCAGGGCTTTTGAATTAAGCAAAGAATCTTTGCCTTTATAACCTTGAATGTAGAAATTAATAAAGTGCAATGAGGGTTTAAATTGGCTGTCCATTCATATTTATCATAGGCAATTTGGGGTAAGATATGAAGCAAAATATAATATTGATTAATAATGATGTTAACTATGTTGTTAAACTTTTATTTTAAAATATTGAAGTTCACTAAAGAGAAGTTTCCCATCATTTTTTATATTCAGTGATTGACTGTCTGTTCATTTATCAGGAATGGTGGGCAGTGCTAAACTAGATGACCTTCAAGTTTCTTTCCTTGCAAATATAATGTATTTTAAAATATGTAACCCAAACATATCCTGCAAGAAAAAAAAATCTGCAAAGTTCTACATGAGAAGTTTCATTTATTCAAATAATATCTAGTGCTAGCTATGTGTCTGGAAGTACTTAGACACTCAAAACAGATAAAATCTCGAGTCTCATGGAGCATGCATCATAGTAGGAGATGTAAGACAATAATCAAATGAAAAAACATATTATCAGGTAATGTTAACTGCTTAGAGGAGTAATTAATCAGGGCCAATAAACAGGATGCATGGAAGTGTGGAGGGTGATCAATCAGAAAATTGCTCTCCTATTATATGACATGTGAGTAGAAGCCTGGATGACTCATAGAAGAAATTCTTGGATATCTAGGGGAAGCCAATGGCAAAAGCAAATACAAACTTTGGTGAGAACCTGAGAGAGAAACTGCAAGGGGATCAGCATAGCAATACTTTTTTACAGAAGAGCTTGCTAAAGCACAAAATGCCCTCAAGTGACGTCAATGCTGCTGGTCCAGGGATCATATTTTGAGAACCACTGCTCTAGTGAGCAAGGGAGACCTGAGAAAAAGCTAGGGGTGAGGTGGGTGATGAGGATATTTTATTCCATACATATTCTGTATAATGTGACATATATCACTTCTATACATATTAATTTTATTAACAGAACATTATTTTATGATATATAGAGTCTTGTGGCTGTGAACAGTGTGTTTTATTCTGAGTCATTGGTTTAACAGAATTCCTAAGCACAGACAAAAGCAGTCCAAATAAGATGTTTGATTAATATAGCATGTGAATTACATAAAGATTTCTGTACTAATAGCTGGAACCAATTCATATTTACTATTACTTGAGAATGTAGGAAATGTGCATGCTAAGATGAAAAAAAAAAATCCTAATGTTTCTCAGTGGATTTCATAACCCAAAAAGTTCTTTAAAATAACCACAATCATTTCAATTTCTATGAGAAGCAAGAGGATATTTTAAGGCCCATTCAACTCAGATAGATGCTACAGCCTATCTAAAGCTTCCAATAAAATGTTTTTTTTTTTTAATCTGTGTAAACACACTAACTCCTTATCTCTGGTATTTAATCTTGTTTGTTCATCTCAAGAAGAGGGAATATAATGGTTCTTCAATACAGCAATTTGAAAAATAGCCAAAATTCTCTAAAAGAGTTGCAGATGTGAGGCTCAAGTCCTTCAGTATCACAAGGTTTACTTTCTGAGTTTATAGCAAAAGCCACCAGGCCTAGACAACTTTAAAAATATGTGTATGTCCATGGAGGCTGCTGCACAGAATATATGAGAAATCCACAAACTCAGAATGCTCCCTGTAACAATGATTTCAGATGAATGTTTTTTATGATTTTATTATTTTGTCTTTTATTAACAATTTTAATCCAGGTACGTAATGGAGATCCCATACATGAAAGTGGAGAACCAAGTAAAAGTTCAAATAATGGAGGAGGTTTGGGTAAAAAAATGAGAACTATTTCTTGGACAATGAAGAAAAAAGTGGGTAAAAAGTACATCAAAGCCCTTTCTGAGGAAAAGGTAAGTATTCTCTATGATATCATTTGTATTTTTTTACTAAATCTTTCTTAAACTGTTCAGCTGGTTTACAGAAGTGCTTCGTGCTTTATGAAGTACTTAAGCACCTGTTTTCTTCCTTAGTCATTATGCCCAGAAGTTGGGTAGAAGGAAGTATTAGTTTCATTTTAACAGAAGAAACTAACACTCAGAAAGAGCATGCATCAGCCAGGCATGGTGGCTCACGCCTGTAATCCCAGCACTTTGGGAGGCTGAAGTGGGTGGATCATGAGGTCAAGAGATGGAGACCATTCTGGCCAACATGGTGAAACCCCATCTCTACTAAAAATAGAAAAATTAGCTGGGCATGGTGGTGCAGGCCTGTAGTCCCAGCTACTCGGGAGGCTGAGGCAGGAGAATCGCTTGAACCTGGGAGGCAAAAGTTGCAGTGAGCCACTGTACTCAAGCCTGATGACAGAACGAGATTCCACCAAAAAAATGAAAAAAAAGGATCATGCATTTTTATATGCATGTGAACAACATGTCATTAATTTTGTAGCAAGTATCAGTACTTCATTCGTTTTTATTGCCAAATAATATTTCTGCTTTATGGACCACATTTAATATATCCACTTATCAGTTAATGATCAGTTGGGTTGCTTTCACTTTTTAGCTATTATGAATAATGCTGCTACAAATACTTCTGTTCAATTTTTGTATGAAAATCTTTTTTCATTTCCCTTGGATATATGGTAACTCTGTGTCTAACAGAGAAACTGGCAAATTGCTTTCCTAAGCAGCTGTGTCATTTTACATTCCCACCAACAATGTATGAGAGTTTCAATTTCTCCACATCATTGCCAACACTTGTTATTGTCTTTCTAATACTAGCCATCCTAGTGGATGTGAGATGGAATCTCATTGTGATTTTGATTTACATTTTTTTGTACTTTCTATTTCCCTGATGACTGATAATGTCAAGAATCTCTTCATGTGCTTTTTAGCCATTTATATATCTTCATGGAGAAGTGTTTTTCACATCCATTGTCCATTTTTAATTGGGTTATTTATCTTTGTGTTTTAAATGTTTATTATATATTCTGGATGCAAGTCCTTTATTAGATATATCACTTGCAATATAATATATTTTCTCCAATTCCGTGGATTATATTTTTATTTTCTCCATGGCATTGTTTGTAGCACAAGTGTTTATAATTTGATTGTATTCCAATTTTCTTTTTGTGGTCACTGGTGCTTTTGGTAACATATTTAAGAAACTGTTGTCTAACCTAATGTTATAAAGAATTATTCCTAGGTTTTCTTTTAAGAGGTCAATAGTCTCATAAATTTTGGTGTATGATTCATTTCAAGGTAATTTGACTGTATGGTATATGGGAAGAGCCCACCTTCATTCTTTTGCAAGTAGATACACAGCTGCCCTAACGCTGTTTGTTGAAAAGACAATTCTTTTCCTATTTCATTGTCTTGGCACTCTTGTTAGAAATCAATTGACCATAAATATATTGTCATAAATATACAGATCATAAATAAGTGGGTTTATTTATGGGCTCTCAATTCTACTTTATTGATTTTTATGTCTTATGTCCATTTGCTTTTTCAACCCACTTCAATAAGTCTCTGCCCCCAGTACTCAGTTAAAATAGCTGTCACCATCTGGGTGAATCTATGTTGTCAAATCCAATGGTCACTTTTCTTTCTCCTTAGTACTTTTCAGTTGTATTCGACCCAAGTGCTGATATCCTTACATATAAAACATTCACTTTTCTTGGCTTCTTTGACTTGGCATACTTCTGACATTTATTCTTCCTCATAGTTTCCTTTCTTGGCTCTGCTTCCTTTCTCATCCCTTGAAACATTGGATCTTCCTGAGGTTTGTTTCTGGTTGCTCCACTGAATCTACCCTCTCCTCCAAAGTCAGCTCATCTACTCTCATGACTTTGTCTTCAAAAAATATATCTCTAGCAATGACCTCTTCACTTATCTATTGTATTTATACAATCAATTTCTTATTTGATATTCTCGTTTAGATGTTCAGCATACATCCAAAACTTAATATATCCAAAGCTAATATAACAATTCTCTATGCTTTTACCAAAAAAAAAAAAAAAAGTTTTCTCATTCAGTATTCCCCAGTGGCAGCAGACAACACTGATCTCCAAAACAAATAAAAACAAAAATATTAAAAAAGGAAAAAAGAAAAGAAAATCTAAGAATCATCCTAAATTCTTTTTCTCATTTTTCACACTAATTCATCAGTAAATTATCTTAATTGTATTATCAAGTATATATAAACTCTCTAATTTCTCCATGTAAACTATTCCTGCTTTAGACTAAGTAACCAACTGTTCTTTCCTGGATTACTATAATAATCCCGATTGCTTCCCATGCTTTTTATTCTTTCTCACATAATATTTATTCTCCATCTGAAAGCCAAAACTATCTCTGACAAGTGGAAATCTGGCCATGGTTAAATTTTCACAGTGTTTTCATAATGCACCCCTTTACTTGGTGTGTTCATTCTAGTCCTCTGAGAAGCAGATTCCAAGAAAGGAACAGAAACACCAGAGATTTATAGGGGGAAATGCTAGGAAGGCCAAAGAAGAGAAAGCCTTTAGACTGCAATGCAAATCTGACATCTGTAAAAGGACAGGGAAAAGGAAGCAGGATCAGGTAGAGAGAGTCTCATACTTCAGCAGAATTCTGAGAAAGCTTTGGTCAGATTGATGGAGGATTCTTATACTAAAGTTTTCTATTACAGGAGCCCTGCATTCCACTAGAATGGGCTCAAACAATACCCCTACATTTTCAGTTACTGGCAGGGTATATGGTTTTACTGCAAACAGAGTGGTGGATACAGAGGGGCAGTCCTGGGGCTGTTTGTAAAGAAAGGTCCGTCAGCAAGAGATCTAAGTGGCACATTTCCATGGCCACCACATGTGGTCTAAAAAGTTTTCTTGATGTGGCTCCACACACTAATATTCTCCTTTCTCTCACCACATTAGCCTTGTTGTTTTCCCCTGCACAACCCAAGCTAATTCTGAGTTCAGTTATTTTGCTCTTGCCGTTCCTTTTGCTTAGAAAACTGTCTCCGAAGCTTCATCTAAGTTACATTTTCTTTTCATTTAGGTCAATAATTGGGGGCATACATTACTGTATGGCAGAGGTCTTTGAAGGACACTCCATTTAAAGCAGCCAACCTGTAACCCTAACCTCAGCCACACATTCTCTCACATCACCCAGTTTTCTTTCTTTCTTAACACTTATTCTCTGAAATTGTCTTGCTTATTTTGTTTATACACACCTCCCCGAATACTCTACACACACAGACACGCAGATACACACACACACACACACACACACACACATACACACACACAGCTAACACACTAGAATATCCTTCATTATAACAAGCACCCTGTTATCTTGTTTACCATAATTCCCAGTTCCCAGAACATTGCCCAGGAGCTAGTAGGTGTTCTATAAACTTACATTGAATGACTGAATGAATAAAGAAATGGATAAAAGCAGAGAATAAAACCGAGTGTCTGGTATATGTATATTGTCAAGTTTTATCAACGTTTAGAAATGCACACAAAGAATGTTGAATTACATTCTGATAATTGTTAAGAAATTCATAAGTTTAATCCAAAATATTGAAATATGGAAAACATTGGAGATGTTTTCAAGAAAATATAATTTGTTTTGAAATTGTCTGTCTTTTCTAATTTTATGCAAGGTTTGCTTTTCACTTGACTAGGTGGCAAGCACGGTATTAGATGTGTAAAGCTTCTTAGATAAGCTTTGCTTTAGAATTGCAAAATGTACATGTTTTATTCATATCTAGTGATCTGGTAGGGTGCAAATAACTGACATGAAGCAACTATGCAGAGTTGAAGCTTATAGGATCAGTGGATTAGTAATGGTGATAAACAGAGGATAAGGACAACATGAAGAAGTAAATGTGTCTTAAAAGATAAACCATAGATGTTAATAAATCTAACATTTTTTATTAAATAGTATTAATATGATATTCATGCTAGTTTGTAAAAGTGAGCCATTATAATTTCAACTGAATTCTAGAAAAAGGAATGTCATCTGACGAATTTTTTCAAGTATATTGAAAAAGGTTTTGCTAGAAATTGAACTGAAGATCAACTACTATCATATTTTATCCTTATGTATTTCATCCTTAAGTATTTCATTGCTAAAATTATCATTTTATCATTTTATCCTTAAGTATTTCATTGCTAAAATATGTCATTATTTTATCCTTAAGTATTTCATTGCTAAAATATGTCTTGTCTATTAAATCAATGTACACAATGAACATCTTCATGGAAATCTTCTCTGTACTTAACCTCTGGTTTGTTTTTCTGAAGGATGAAGAACATGGAGAGAATGCCCTCCCATATAGGAACAGTGACCCTGTGATTGGGACCCACACAGAGAAGGTGTCCCTCAAAGCCAGTGACTCCATGGATAGTCTCTACAGTGGACAGAGCTCATCAAGTAAGGTTAATGAATCAGGGACAAGATCCTGGGTGTGAGGTCTGGGTTAAATTCATTAAAAACAACAAGTTAAATTAGCAACAAGTTTCCAGCTACTTGATAAGAGAAATAGTAAAATGTAAGATCTATTAAATCTATATAGAGTTGCTATTGTTTAAATAATACATGATATATTTGACATAGTTATATATTGTGTTAAAACTTTTAACACTGTAGTCAACAACAGTGTAAAAAGTCGTATTAGGTGATTCAATCTGATCTCTAAAATAAAATTCTTTGTTGGAGTGAGCCAGCTTTATCTTGAGTCAAAATATTTTAAAATTACTTCAAGTATTCAGATAAATGAAATTTATTTTCTGTTCTGTTCTCTGTCCCTTTCTTTCTCCCACCCTTTTCCCGGCTTCCCCCGCCCCCTTTTTCTCCCCCCACCACTTTTCTTTTTTCCGGAAGTACTCTGAAAAAATATAGCACATTTGCATCTATTTACTTTTACTCACATTTACTTTTTAGATCTTAACTCAGAATTACTGAGTAAAGAGCGAAGCAATATGCAAATAATAAATGGTAGGAATGTCACCAATTAGGTGGCAAAAAGGATCCATACGTGACAAACAAGGATTTTCTAATGAACATTAATAATTTTCTAAGAAAGAAATTTTCTAAGAATAATTTTCTAAGAAAGAAATCACTCGGGATTTAGCCACTTTTCCAGCTACAATATTTGGATGAAATGATTGATATTTCAGGGTGCCTTATGACTTTTTATATGTAGACTGTTATATATCTTTCTAATCTTTTCAGGGCTTTTAAATGTTTTTGTGAAGTTTATTTTCCATTTCCTTTTAAATTGACTGCTTCTGCTATTTGAAGATGTATGGCAAGGACCAGATGTTTCAAATATCCTGAGTTTTATTCCTATTTTCCTATTTGGAGTAGAATAGTTATTTTGTGACAAAAGCTAACAAAAACATTTAAAGCATTTTTTTTTTTTTTGCATGTGTGAAATTCAGATCTCGTTAGTATTCATTTCTGCTGGAAGTTTTAAAACTATATTGTGATGCTGAATGTTAGAATTTTATTAACTAGAATGGACTGTGAAAATCCCTGGTCTAGAGTTGTCACAGAAGGGAGGGTGTGAAGAGATGGTGGCCCATTTTACTATTAGCATATACCCCTTAATTTATGTCATTAGATGCAACTCACCTGTGTTTTACACCAGTTCACATACAATGTGGAGCATCTTGAAGGATCTTTACCTTATATCCACATTGCATGGTAGTGAAACCTGGGTTATTCCCTCATTGAACAGAATGATGAAAGGCCAGATCAAGGAAGAAGTGATGACTGAGTAGGAGGGTAGGGGAGGAGAGTTACTTCCACGGGGATCCATTCTTGTTCCCAGGCAGATGGCAAAATGATCTCTCTCTTCTCTTTTCCTTGAAGTTCGGAGCAGTTTTAAAGGCCCAGTTTCTAAGTTTCAAACCAGTTGGGGGTGCAGACATTTGGACACACTTTGTCTTTCTTTTACACTCATACAACAAGCAAAAGTGCCACCTGTTGTGGCAGAAATACTGACTCAAAATGGCCTTTGGTACACGGTGGGAACTCTGGCAGAAAAGGCTTGTGATAAGTTGTAGGAAATTTTGTAATGTCATGCTTTGAACATTCATGATCAATAGCACACAAAGTTCAAACTTGCTATCAGTTTCTGTCTTTGTTTGCATGTACAAAATTAATTACCTGGCTTGGTCAGTGGTTGTACCTGTACCTTCCTCCTCTTCGGCAGGTGTCCAATGCTTAGTATATTGTGTATTGGATCAGATTATGGAGAATGAAGTGAGAGGGTACTTGGGTTAGTAGTAGAGGAGAGAGTGGCCAGATTGGCAGGAAAAAGGTTAGAAATGCTCAGAGAACAAAACTCACTGATGGAGAGCAACTGGGAGACCGTAACCAGGATGAGTCCATTCTAACCTCCTCATGAGCCTGGCATCCAGTGTTCCAGCATTATCAATACTTAGTTGTGTCCAAATGATGGTTCAGAATGTTAGAAGTCTTCAATGACAGCTGTGAACTTTTGCTTTCATTAGGTGGCATAACAAGCTGTTCAGATGGTACAAGTAACCGTGACAGCTTTCGACTGGATGACGATGGCCCCTACTCAGGACCATTCTGCGGCCGTGCCAGAGTGCATACGGATTTCACACCAAGTCCCTATGACACTGACTCTCTCAAAATCAAGGTGAGAGGACACCATATCCCACCTTCTGAATGGTTTGTCAAATGCTGGTTATATGATCTGTTTCAACAAGTATAAGCAAGGGGAAGACAGAGTGTGAGTGTGTTCTTCCCAACAGCAGAAGTGAAGACTGGCTTACAGCACTAAGAATTTGAATGAAATAAGTGAGGTGGAGTCGGGGTAGCAGTCTGTTCAGGCTATTAGCATAATTTGTTATTATATAGACGATTCAGATTCAAAATCTATCAGGGCAGAAGGAATTCTCTCCATTTTCATGAAAACCAAAAGCCTCACAGTTGCTGAAGGTGTTCAACTCTGCCTGATACTTGCAGAAATAAAAATAATGAAACCAAAGAGAAGGAGAGAAGGTGCAAATGTCAGGCAAGAACGCAGCAGAGCAAAGGCCTTGGGAACGCGACTTGGCAAGGCAACTCCAGTACTTTTTATTTTTGTTTTTATTTTTATTTCCATAGGCTATTGGGGAACAGGTGGTGTTTGGTTACATGAATAACTTCTTTAGTAGTGATTTGTGAGATTTTGGTGCACCCATCACCCAAGCAGTATACACTGCACTATATTTGTAGTCTTGTATCCCTCACCACCTTCCCACCTTTCCCCCTGAGTCCTCAAAGTCCATTATGTCATTCCTATGCCTTTGCATCTTCATAGCTTACCTCCCGCTTATGAGTGAGAACATACGAGGTTGGGTTTTCCATTCCTGAGTTACTTCACTTAGAATAATAGTGACCAGTTTCATCCAGGTCACTGCAAATGCCATTAATTCATTCCTTTTTATGGCTGAGTAGTATTTCATCAGATGTCTACCTATCTATCTATCTATCTATATCTCACAGTTTCTTTATCTACTCATTGACTGATGGGCATTTAGGCTGGTTTCACATTTTTGCAATTACAAATTGTGTTGCTATAAACATGTGTGTGCAAGTATATTTTTCTTTTTTTGTTGTTTTTTTTTTTTTTTTTTTTTTTTTGAGACAGAGTTTCACTCTTGTTACCCAGGCTGGAGTGCAATGGCACGATCTCAGCTCACTGCAACCTCCGCCTCCTGGGTTCAGGCAATTCTCCTGCCTCAGCCTCCTGAGTAGCTGGGATTACAGGCATGCACCACCATGCCCAGCTAATTTTTTGTATTTTTAGTAGAGACGGGGTTTCACCATGTTGACCAGGATGGTCTCGATCTCTTGACCTCATGATCCACCCGCCTCGGCCTCCCAAAGTGCTGGGATTACAGGTTTGAGCCACCGCGCCTGGCCCCAAGTATATTTTTCATATAATGACTTCTTTTCCTCTGGGTTGATACTCAGCAGTGGAATTGCTAAATCAAATGGTAGTTCTACTTTTAGTTCTTTAAGGAATCTCTACACTGTTTTCCATAGTGGTTGTACTAATTTATATTCCCACCAGCTGTGTAGAAGTGTTCCCATTTCACTACATCCATGCCAACAATTTTTAAAAAAATTTTCTAATTATGGCCATTCTTGCAAGAGTAAGGTGGCATTGCATTGTGGTTTTGATTTGCCTTTCCCGATCATTAGTGATGTTGTGCATTTTTTTCATATGTTTGTTGGCCATTTGTATATCTTCTTTTGCAGAATTGTCTATTCATGTCCTCAGCCCAATTTTGATGGGATTGTTTTGTTTTCTTCTTGTTGATCTGAGTTCATTGCAGATTTTGGATATTAGTCCTTTATCAGATGTAGAGATTGTAAAGATTTTTTTCCCACTCTCTGGGTTGTCTTTTACCTCCGCTGACTGTTCATTTTGCCATGTGAAAGCTCTTTAGTTTGATAAAGTCCCAGCAACTTATCATGGTTTTTATTGCATTTGTTTTTGGGTTCTTGTTCATGAAATCCTTGCCTAAGCCAATGTCTGGGAAGGTTTTTCCAATGTTACCGTCTGGAAGTTTTAAGGTTTCAGGACTTAGATTTAAGTCTTTAATCCATCTTGAGTTGTTTTTTGTATAAGGTGAGATTGAGAGTTGAGGATTCAGTTTTATTATCCTACATGTGGCTAGCCAATTATCCCAGCACCATTTGTTGAAAAGGATGTCCTTTCCCCACTTTGTTTTTGTTTCAGGTTTATTTCTGGGTTCTCTATTCTGTTCCATTGTTCTATGTGCCTATTTTTATACTAGTACCATGCTGTTTTGGTGACTATGGCCTTATAGTATAGTTTGAAATTAGGTAATGTGATGCCTCCAGATTTGTTATTTTTGCTTAATTAAGTTTGCTTTGGCTATGCAGGCCCTTTCTTTGGTTTCATATGAATTTTAGAATTTTTTTTTTAATTCTGTGAAGAATGATCATGGTATTTTGATGGGAATTATTTTGAATTTGTAGATTGCTTTTGGCAGTACAGTCATTTTTACAATATTGATTCTACATATCCATAGGCATGGAACATGTTTCCATTTGTTTGTGCTGTCTATGATTTCTTTCAGCAGTGTTTTGTAGTTTTCTTTGTAGAGGTCTTTCCTTGGTTAAGTATATTTCAGTGTATTTTTTTGATGTTGTTGCAGCTATTGTAAAAGGGGTTGAGTTCTTGATTTGATTCTTAGCTTGGTTGCTGCTGGTGTATAGAAAAGCTACTGATTTTTGTACATTAATTTTGTATTCAGAAACTCTGCTGAATTCTTTTATCAGTTCTAGGAGCTTCCTGGAGGAGTCTTTAGGGTTTTCTAGGTAAATGATCATATTATCAGCAAACAGTGACAGTTTGACTTCCTTTTTAGTGATTTAGATACCTTTTATTTTTTTTCTCCTGTCCGATTGCTCTGGTTAGGACTTCTAGTACTGTGTTGAAGAGGAATGGTGAGAGTGGGGATCCTAACCTTGTTCTGGTTCTCAAAGGGAATGCTTTCACCTTTTCCCCATTCAGTATTATGCTGACTGTGTGTTTGTCATAGATGCCTTTTATTATATTGGGGTATGTACATTGTCTGCCAATTTTGCTGAGAATTTTAATCATAAAGAGATGCTGGATTTTGTCGAGTGCTTTTTCTGCATCTATTGAGATGATTGTGTGTGTGTGTGTGTGTGTGTGTTTCTAATAATTCTGTTTATATGGTGTGTCATGTATATTGATGTGCATATGCTAACCCATCCCTGCATCCCTGGTATTAAACCCACTTGATTGTGGTGGATTATCTTTTTGATATGTTGTTGAATTATGGTTAGCTAGTATTTTGTTAAGAATTTCAGCATCTATGTTCATCAGGAATATTGGTCTGTTGTTTTCTTTTTTGGTTATGTCCTTTCCTAGTTTTGGTACTAGGGTGATACTAGCTTCATAGAATGATTTAGGGAGGTTTCCTTCTTTCTCTATCTTGTGCGACAGTGTCAATAGGATTGGTACCAATTCTTCTTTGGTAGAATTCTGCTGTGAATCAGTCTGGTCCTCAACTTTTTTTTCATTCGTAATTTTTATATTACCATTTCAATCTCACTGACTGTTATTGGTCTGCTCCAAGTATCTAATTTTTTTTTCTGATTTAAGCTAGGGGAGTTGTACTTTTCCAGGAATTTAGCCATCTCTTGTAGTTTATGCATGTAAAGGTGTTTGTAGTAGCCTTGAATGATCTTTTGTATTTCTGTAGTGTCAGTTGTAATAGCTCCTGTTTCATTTCTTATTGAGCTTATTTGAATTTTCTCTTTCCTTTTCTTGGTTAATCTTGCTAATGGTCTATTAATTCTACTTATCTTTTCAAAAAAACATCTTTTTGTTTCTTTTATCTTTTGTATTGTTTCTGTTTCCATTTTATTTAGTTCTGCTCTGATCTTGGTTATGTCCTTTCTTCTGCTGTTTTTAGATTGGGTTTGTTCTTATTTCTCTAGTTTCTTATGGTATGACTGTAGACTGTTTGTTTGGGTTCTTTCAGATTTTTCGATGTAGGTGTTTAGGGCTATGAATTTTCCTCTTGGCACTGCCTTTGCTGTGTCACAGAGGTTTTGATAGGTTGTGTCACTATTGTTGCTCAGTTTGAAGAATATTTTAATTTTCATCTTGAGTTCATTTTTGACCCAATGATCATTCAGGAGCAGGTTATTTAATTTCCATGTATTTGCATGGTTTTGAAGGTTTCTTTTGGAGCTGATTTCCAGTTTTATTCCATTGTGGTCTGAGACAGTGATTGATATAACTTCAATATTTTTTATTTATTGAGGCTCATTTTGTGGCCTATCATATTGTCTAACTTGGAAAAAGTTCCATGTGCTATTGAATAGAATGTATATTCTGCAGTTGTTGAATGGAACGTTCTGTATATATCTGTTAAGTCCATTTGTTCCAGGGCATAATTTAAATCCATTGTTTCTTTGTTGACTTTCTGTCTTGATGGTTTGTCTAGGTCATCAGGTTCCCCACTGTTATTGTGTTACTGTCTATCTCATTTCTTAGGTTCATTAGTAATTGCTTTATAAATTTGGGAGCTCCAGTGTTAGGTGCCTACATGTTTAAGATTGTGATATTTTCCTGTTAAACAAGGCCTTTTATCATTATATAATATCCCTCTTTGTATTGTTTAACTGCTGATGCTTTAAAGTTTGTTTTGTCTGATATAAGAATAGCTATGCCTGCTTGCTTTTGGTGTCCATTTAGACTCTAGCAAGGCCAGAGAAGTTTTCCTTAATTATTTTCCCAAATATGTTTTCCAAACTTTTAGATTTCTCTTTTTCCTCAGGAACACTGATTATTCTTATTTTTGGTAGTTTAACATAATCTCAAACTTCTTGGAGGCTTTGTTACCTCTCTTCTGGATCTAGCCACCCAGCAAGTCTACCAGGCTCCAGGCTGGTACTAGGGGTTGTCTGTACAGAGTTCTATGATGTGAATTGCCTGTGGGTCTCTCCGCTGTGGATACCAGCACAGTATTTGGGTTGTCTTCCATGTACTGAAGGAGGAATCCACTTCTTTCATGGGGTCTGTAGCTCCTCTAAAGTTTTCTGATTTATTTCTGCAATTGTTCTGGAGCAAAAATTCATTATGTGAGCTTCCACTCATTCTTCTGTCTGCCCACGTTGGAGCTGCAATCCAGTCCTGCTTCTTGTCTGCTGTGATGCCCCAGAAAAGTCTAGTACCTTTTAAGTTGATTGTTATGAGTAACCAGAGACCTTTCTCCCATTGGTATTTCCTCCTGAATTCCCTTTTCTTACTCTTTTCCTCTGTATTCATTTTCTAATGTTGTGTAACACATTGCCCCAATCTCAGAGGCATCAAACAACACAAATGTGTTTCTCAGTTTCTGTAGGTCATAATTGTGCACATGGCTCAACTGAGTTCTAAGCAGGCTGTGATCTCACCTGAGGCTCAGGGTTCTCTTCTGAGTTCACTGGCTATTGGCAGAATTCAGTTCTTTGTGGTCATAGGACTGAGGACACCATTTTCTTGCTGGATATCAACTGGAGGCCATTCTCAGCCCCTAGATTCCACCAGCCAGGGCCTTTTCTACAATCTGGCAGTTTGCTTTTTCAGGGTGATCAGGAAAAAGCTCACTCAGGCTTTAATATTCTTTCTTTTTAAGTGATCCTTCCTGATTTGTCAGACCCACCAAGATAATCTTCCTTTCAATTAACTCAATATAAAATAATTTAGTACAATAATTGGATCTGCAAAGTCCCTCCTACCATGTAAGGGTAACATAATCATGATTATGAAACCCATGTAAGCAGTATTCATAGTCCTGCTTACACTCAAGGGGACTAGTTGATTACAATAGCACAAAGAGAAGATGGCTTTGTGCTAAAATAATTCATAGATGTTAAATTAATTCTGTCTAGTATCAGTGCTAAAAGTCAAAGGACATATAGTATCAATTTTCTATATTGTTAACACTTAACCAATGTTAACTAATAATTATGATATATTATGGAGTATTTATATTATTATTTAACAGTTAAGGTTTTGATCACTTCCATACTATCGAATTTGAGTAAGCGCAACTGGAGAATAAAACATGTACTGTTCCCCATAGTAAGCTCCTTAGTCATGTATATGGAATGATCTGATTTCTAAGTTCAAGTCTTGGGGAAACAATATCATAATCTAGTAACCATTGTGGAATAGAGAAATAGAAGGAAATAAACACAGCACAGTTTGACTCAGGATAGCCTTTCAACTTCCCTACAATACCATGCCAGGATACCACCACTGCTGCTGCTGCCTGAGGTGAGTTTTTGTGAAGCTCTTATAGGACACAATAAGAATTCCCCAATTACCCGTGAAGATTGAAATACTATTATTTCTGTCAAGGGTTTTATCCAAAATAAAACTGAGTCTTTGCTTGATGAACTGTGGGCTTTCCTGGAATGTGCAGGTATATATGTTTAAAGAATAATTTGCAAATTTACAAGTCTCAAGTATAATAGGAAGGATGCAGTAAAGGGTTTCCATGCCTAGAAACTTTCTAGAGCTTTGGGAGAACTTCCCAGTCTCCCTAGCTGATGCCATCCAGCCTATGATTTTATTCCCTTTCCTTAAAGGCAGAAAGACCTAGCTTAACGTATCACAAGACTAGACAGACAGATGATCACAAAGTAGAAAGACCAGATAGTTCAGTCACAGTGAATTATACCATTACAAGTAAAATCTGTTTTTTATATGGAAAAACGCACATTCCTAGAGCAGCAGGAAAAATATTTTTAGTAGCAGACTTGATGCTTATTTTGTTTGAGGGTAGACACTTAAAATGGGCAAAAATATTAGAATCTGTAAAGTCCTCTCTGGGACAGAAACTTTTGTCTCAAAGGATCAACTATGACTCTTAAACCTAGGCATCATATTTGCATAGAAATAAATATTCTTTACAAAGAAATATCCCCATGAAGTTTTCTACTGTTGCCAATAACTGGCAGCTTATAGTTAATTATCATCTTAGATATGAGTAAAGAAAAAGACCAACTGGTTTGTCCATACCAATGTGATTCATTCATACTTCAATTTAAACTTTGCTGTGAGCTCAATCTAAATGTTACCTCCTCTTAATAAAAGGAGGGCATGAATATCTTAAAAAGAATTATTTAGCATAATTTAACCTTAGTGTACACATACTTTTATATGACTTTGGTACAATTTCTTTATTTTAGATAAATGAAATACTGGAGATGGGTTTATCTTATACTGTAGATAAATTTTTCATGTGCACTGGAAACACCTAGAATAACAGACTTCTTCTTCATCTCCGTCCCCAGCTGGGGAGTACTTCCAGGAATGATGACTTGAGCTTTGTTACAGATACATTGCTTTGAAAGTACAAATAATAAGGGCATCATTTTTTAGTTTAGATAACTTAGACTTGAGTCCTGGTTCTGTCATTAACTTCCTTCAAGCTCTTGGGAAGTCATTTAATATCTCTGTTTCATTTTCTGTAATATTTAAATTAATAATGATACCTCCCTTATGTATCTAAGAGTTGTGCTATGAGCAAAAATAACTTAGAGTAGGCAAAAGTGTTTTGTAAATTACACTATGTTCTACAGTTACAAGTTGACAAATTGATATGATAACAGAGGCATAAACATGTCATCAAACTATGTGAGGGCTTTTTGTCAAGAATGTTTAAATTTTCTTCCTATACCTAGTAAATAACTTCTTTGCCTCAAGCAATTCTCCTGCCTTGGCCTCCCAAAGTTCTGGGATTATAAGCATAACCCACCATATCATCAGCCTGAACTTTTGAGAGAAGTGGATGTTTAGATTGATTTCTATTATATCTGAACCCCTTTAGCATAATGTCCTCATTATTGTAGTTTTCTATGATTTCATTCTTTCTATCAATTTTTATAGCATCATAGTTCTCTGAAACCTAATCTTTATGGATTTCTTTGTCCTTAGAAAGGAGACATCATAGACATTATCTGCAAAACACCAATGGGGATGTGGACGGGAATGTTGAACAATAAAGTGGGAAACTTCAAATTCATTTATGTGGATGTCATCTCAGAAGAGGAAGCAGCCCCCAAGAAAATAAAGGCAAACCGAAGGAGTAACAGTGAAAAATCCAAAACTCTGCAGGAGTTCCTAGAGAGGATTCATCTTCAGGTGAGCAAATCTCTGATCTGTTTGCTTTTGGTGGCATGTAAATGGAAAAATTGAGGAGCGTGGATCAGTATTTGTGTTGTGCTGTTTAAAAATACAAGTCTTACAAGCAAAGGAAAACCTATTTTCCTAGAAGAGCTCTTATTTCTCCTTTATTAATTTTATTATGCAAGGACAAGTCTTGGTATAATATCCCTTGAACTAAACCTTAATAGTATTTAGCAGTGACAATAGAGATTAATGTTAAGAAAGGGCAGTGAAAAATAAAAATACCTTAGAAGAACAAAAGGCCCTAAGGAAATCTCTAAATTAGAATGATAGAATATAAGGAATAACATAAGTCTAAAAAAGTGAAAGGAAAATTAAAAAGAGAATTGTATTTTTTACAAAGCAGAGATTAAAATCAAGTTGAGAGAAGATAACTGAATATAATCATTTTAAAAGTAATTTGAAGGAAATAGTGATCATCAAGCCCCATAATGGTTGTGTTAAGTGTGTTGTCTGTATCTATAACCCAATTATTATTTTCTTTTTATACTAGCAAAATTCTTTTGAAATGTTTACCTTGTTAAATGGCATGTACAGAAAATATACCTAGTATCAATCAATTTACAGTTTTTTAATCTATTTCTAAAATCAACTGAGCAGTACTTTGATAGTTTTCAAAATTCGTCAAGGCAATAGTCAATTACATTTTCTTAATTGTTTTTTTTTTCTGAATTATCTAGTTATGTTTCTGTCTACAAACACAGCATCTAAGCTTTCCTGTATTGCTGTTGGTACACCCCAAATGAGAGATTCCTTGGAGAATGTACAAGTTGGCATCTTGCCTCTGCCTCTTGGTTGTTCTGTGACCAGTGAGAAAACCAAGGGCTAAGAGACTGAAATGACTTGCCCAAGAAGAGTTAAATGGTTCTATGTCACAACAGGAATTTTTTTTTCTCTATTCTAATTCAGTGCCAAGAATATACTTTTTTAAAAAAAATTGTCACTCCTCTTGTTTTCCTTCCTTTTATTTTTTTGTTGAAAAGGACTGCTCATAAGTTCTTCCTGATTACTTTAAACTTTTGGACTTCCTCTTATTCTATTTTAGAATTAAAATAAGGGTATTGAAATTAGATGAAGTAAACTGGGAGAAAACTTTGAGGAAGTTGAAAAAGCACTTCACTTAATATTTGAAATCAGAAACCTCTGAATTTTAAACTAATACATGTTGATGCAAATGATGGACAAAATATACATTCTGAGAAAACAATTCTTTCACCCAACTATGGTGCTTCTATGCTTAATAAAAGCTTTCAATTAAATAGGAAGTCTAGAATTCCTTTGGTTTATATAATGCCTTTCAACCAAAATGCTACAACAAAATTTTAACGTAGAATTTCCATCTGTTTCAAACTCATTTTTTAACCTACCCCAAGAAGGTTTTGAGAGTAGAAGTTTTTGCAATCATGCAAACAAGAAGAGATATAGATTCTGAAATATTACTGTAGCATGCTACTCTGCTAAAGGCATTTCATTGATAGCCTTAAAGTAACGCTAGTTCCATCAATTTAGTTGGTTGAGAAGTGAAAAAAAAATGCCAAATGGATGCATGATCCAACTATTTAATTTATCCATTATTTCAAATTGGATATTTAAGGTAATGATTTCTTCTTTACACTTGGCCATACAAAAGGTGAGAATTAAACAACATAATCATTTAAGAGCCGTGGAGTTCATATGTCAAAAACTAATACAAATGAAGTTAAGCAAAAGTTTTATTGGTACCTTTGGTTTCCATATGCATCTCTACACTTTCTTTAAAGAGAACTAAAAATAAAATATTTGAATCTGACTAATTTGCATTATTTGTATTTTTTGTCCCGCAGGAATATACCTCAACACTTTTGCTCAATGGTTATGAGACTTTAGAAGATTTAAAGGATATAAAAGAGAGTCATCTCATTGAATTAAATATTGAAAACCCAGAAGACAGAAGGAGGTTACTATCAGCTGCTGAAAACCTCCTTGACGAAGAAAGTAAGTGGGCTTACCTATTCTTCTCCCCAGCTGATAATTACAGTTAAATATAAACAGCATAATCAGTAAAAACAAGCCGCAGTTTTATTACTGAGGTCATAAAAGCATGCTTTCCCATAAAATAAGTATTTTCACATAAATTTGAAAACAATAACTCTGGTCAAGTATGTAATTAGAAAGAAATGTATTTCCTTATCAGACTCAAGAAATGAAGGGACTTTTTTGGGTGCCTCATTTCCATTCTGCAAAGCTATTAATTTACGTGCAAGTGGATGTTGGCATTCCCAAAGACCGAGGGGGTTAAGAGACAAATGTTTAGTAAGAGCATAAGCCATTAGTGAGAAATGTCACACATGGCTTCTGTAGAACAACACAGAATGTGGCTTTAACATAATAAGCCTTCATGCCACACAGGAAAATTCATTCATTATTATATAGTCACATATTGTACCTGTTTATAGTACTCTTTCAAAATGTTATAATAGCTTGAAAAAATATTCAGCACTTTTAGTATCTGAGATGGTTCTCTATATTCGTAAGTATATACTGAAGATGAAATAATACATGCAGATTCACAGAAAACTGGCTACCCCAATCAGGCTTGTAAAGATACGATAAAGTTTATTTTTTATAATTACCCATCCAGGCCGCATTCCCTGCTAAGTCTAGTCAGGTCCTCAAACACTGAGCTTAGGGTGTTCCAAACTCTGTAAGGAGTATTTTGTGAGCAACCAAATGGGGAAAGTCTAATTTTGAAGATGAAAAGGAACTTAGATAATCAAATCCAGACTTCTCTATCAAAAATACTACTAATAATAATTAGTGGTAGTATTATTAGTTTTTGAGATGGTGGCTTGATTCGTTGTTCAGGCTGGAGGGCAATGGCACAATCTTGGCTCACTGCAACGTCCATCTCCTGGGTTCAAGCGATTCTCATGCCTCAGCCTCTGAGTAGCTGGGATTATAGGCATGCCACCATGCCCAGCTATTTTTTGTATTTTTAGCAGAGATGGAGTTTTACCATGTTGACCAGGCTGGTCTCGAACTTTTGACCTCAAGTGATCTGCCCACCTAGGCCTCCCAAAGTGCTGGGATTACAATCATGAACCTGGCCGTAAAAATACTAATAATTATTAACTACATTTTTAAAACATATGTGCTCTGAGCAAGACTTTGGGCCAGGGTCCTTCCTTATTATTCACTTGAGTACTCACCCCAGATCTTTGAGTTAGACAGTACTGCCCTCATTTTTATGATGAGAAATTGAGACAATAAGTAACTTGTCTAACAACACTCCCATAGTGAAGTGTAGAGTTCGGATTTTCACCCAATGTTTGTGCTGCTGTGTTATATTTTTAACACCACAAGTAACACCAGATGGAGAGTGAGGAGAGAAGAAAGCTTTATTTAGGGGCCAGTCTTCCTGATTGTCCATTTGTGGGCTATTCTATAGTGTTTCTCATAAGTCTCATAAAATTAAGGCAGAGCACATGTTTCCTATACACTGGCTTTTATCTAGTGAAAAGTAGTTTATTTTGTAAGAAGTTATTCCTTACTTTATTCTTATCATCATTTTCCAAGAGCTTTCACAGGCATAACTAATTTGACATCAGCAGAACTGATTTCATCATGAGGCCTAGGTTTTTATATGCTTTCTTGGAAGTTACGGAGCTGGGAAACAGAAAAGAGGGGAGATGTGGTCACAGAGGCAAAGTCTGAACTTTAGAAAGTAGCCAATTTAATCAGTAATACAAACCAAGACAAAATTGATCAGTGTAAACAGATATGGGAAGCTCTTTCAGGTAAAGGAGTCAGTTTTCTTCGTATCTTGTCATTTCAAGAGATGGCTCCTCACTGAATAATGTTTGGCTTAGAAATAGATTCTACAGACTTTTATTACCGACAATGACCAGTGTTATTGTCAGTACTGTCCAAAATAATTTGACCATGAAAGCAGGGAGGAAAAGAGTATTTTTTGAACACTTGTAAATAATTGCTTTTCTTCCATAATAGCACACATTTAGGTATTTTGCCCAATTTACAGATGAGGAAAAAATTTGGAGATGAATTTTGAAGAAGTCAAACAGCAAAATGAGTGTAGAGATGTAGTTTTAATCAAAGGGTGTCTGCTATAAAACTCCTCCACATGTGCAAACTGGTCAATAGGAAAGCAATGAATATTTGAAAATTGAAGTTTTCAGCTCCTTCACCAATTTTCTCAAGTGATTTAGTTCAGTTTTCTGTATTAGAAAGTGAAAGGTAAGAGGCTACCACAACTGCCTGTCAACAGGGTTTGTGGAGAGAAGGGTCTGGGAACCTGGGAAAGCAGTACTCTCAGCAATGCACAGTGTCCAGTAGGGACCCACAGAGGAAAGATGGCTTCACTGCAAAAGGCTTGCATCCCCTTAATTCTTTTCATTCCACCTCACTCATAATCTGTCTATTTTCAATGCTAAACAAAAGAATAATTATTCATAGATGACAACATTATTTATAGAGCCGGTATGATTAAAAAGAAAAAACACCTGATGCAAAATTCTTCCTTGCAAGATGGGAAGATGAAAATCCAAGTAGCTAAGTGGCTTTCTCAAGCTCCCATATCTATAACTCAGTCTCCTACATCAATTAGAAACATGTTCTGCTATATCCTGGTCTCTGAAAACAAAACATCATGTCTCCAAAGCATTAAATGGTTTTTGATATTTGATATACAAAAGGACAATTCCCAGACATTATTCCCCTGTATAAAACTTTAGAAAATGATACTCGAAGGTCACTAGAAGTTGATCACTTAATGATAGCCAGTAAGGTACAAACATACACAGAGCCAAATTCTGGAAGATGAAAAATGGGAAAAAAATACAGATTCTACCAGTGCTTCTTGTCAATACATTACCCTGAGATTTTTCTTATTTTAATCTTATGGTCTAAAGTCGCATTAGAATATACATGTCAAAAAGATGCATATTGCATGTTAGGCTATTCTGACTGAAAGCTATTTATCTTATATAAAACTGCTTTGCTCAAGAAATAAAGAAGAATGACTTCCATTTTTTGATAAGATAGTGAGTTCTGATGATTTGGCACCATGCTGGCTGCATGCTTATTTTTATCTATTTTCTACTCTGTGAATCATATCTCCTACAACCATGCTAAAGATTAAATGCACAACCTTCATGTATCTTGAATGATAAAGACCTTGAATATATGGCTATGTAAAACTGAGACATTTAAAAACAAATGCTTGTTATAGGTTAAAAATAGTTAGCTTCTTTTTAAGAATCGGGCATGCAAATTTTCTAGGATATTATGTATGCATCTTATTTTGATCATTGTATAATGTCAGTTTGAGGAATGGCAATAAATTCCTAGTTTGATGTCTCATTGTTAGATTGAGAACTTAAAAAGGTTTGCTTTGCTAATCATTCAATATAAAAGTTGAGGAAAATGGGCATATGTCTTGGGGATAAGGGCTAAAATTTTGAGATAATGTAGGAAAGACAAGTCCTATGTGAGACTTGAATATATCTAGAAGGACCAAGAGAATGGGGTACAAAACATGAAAAAAAACCAGACTTCTAAGATTTAAAGCCAAAAAAAAAAAAACTTTCCTTTTCTCTTCTTAGCCCAAGATAAATAGCATTGTACCCACTTTGACCTTGCAACTGTAAACTGGATTATACTTTTTTTAAATTATTATATTTTAAGTTCTGGGATACATGTGCAGAACGTGCAGGTTTCTTACATAGGTATACACATGCCATGGTGGGTCGATGCACCCATCAACCCTTCATCTACATTAGGTATTTCTTCTAATGCTATCCCTTCCCATCCGCCCCCCCACCCCTGATAGGCCCTAGTGTGTGATGTTCTCCTCCCTGCGTCCATGTGTTCTCATTGTTCAACTCCCACTTATGAGTAAGAACATGCAGTGTTTGGTTTTCTGTTCCTGTGTTAGTTTGCTGAGTATGATGGTTTCCAGCTTCATCCATGTCCCTGCAAAGGACATGAACTTATTCTTTTTTATGGCTGCATAGTATTCCATGGTGTATATGTGCCACATTTTCTTTATTCAGTCTATATTGATGGACATTTGGGTTGATTCCAAGTCTTTGCTATTGTATACAGTGTTGCAATAAACATATGTGTGTGCATGTGTCTTTGTAATAGAATAATTTATAATCCTTTGGGTATATACCCAGTAATGAGACTGCTGAGTCAAATGGCATTTCTGATTCCAGATCCTTAAGGAATTGCCACACTGTCTCCAGCAATGGTTGAACTAATTTACACTCCCACTGACAGTGTAAAAGTGTTCCTATTTCTCCACATCCTCTCCAACATCTGTTCTCTCCTGACTTTTTAATGATCGCCATTCTAACTGGTGTGAGATGGTATCTAGGTCACTGCCTCGCAGGAAGCAAAGGTGCTTCTCCAACAAGCTAATAAAAGGGCTGGCATGTGGTGTTAGTGCTGGTCACAGGATTACCTCTAGAGGAAGACAACCACAATGGGGTTCTGCAATCCCAGCAAGACCAGCATAGATATTTGGAGTTTGTCCTGTGCTGCATTAGTACTGAGAGGAATTAGGTCATCAGTTCCCTTCACTGGGAATCTAGGTGAGGTTATAGGGAGAAGAAAAATTGGGGTGAGATGCAGCTCTTGAAGGAATGAGAGAGCAGGATCTGTTTATTTTGTACACTTTAGGGTTTTTCTGTTTATCATATGAATTTAAAATTTTGTTTACTTTGGGAGTAAATACTCCCAAATAAAAAAGAAAGAGAACAGAGAGAGATAGAGACTCTGTGTGTGTGTGTGTGTGTGTGTGTGTGTGTGTGTGTGTGTGTGTGTGTGTTGTTCCATAAACTCAATCTTCTAGTCCCCTTTGCCTTACTCTGAGGTGCCTCTTTAGAATAATAAGATAGTTTACTGTTGTGTATAGTAAACATTTTCTCATTATTCTACACTTGCTCCTCATTTTCCACATTTAGAAGCACTTA